TGATTTGACTGGCGACGACATATTTATTAAACAAATATTTAGAATCTAGTTAGGTTAAGCAACCATATTACAATATAAATTAATTTTAGTAGTTATACTGTACAGTGTTATGGTATAACTACTAAAATCAATTTACTCTAAATCATATGACTAAACAATATTATACAAATGATCTACAACATGCATGAAATTATTATTTAATCTCTAGATGGTGATTTCTGAACACTAGGATTTTTATCGAATATCAAACTCTGATTGGTCAATTTCAAAAATCAGTAGAAAACTTAATGGGTATTATAGAAAATTAATTAATGATTTAGGAAAATCTGTTAACAATGATGGATTTTTTAATGGTGGTGATGGATTTCTTAATAGGTATCAGAATTAATTAGTAAATTTACTATTAAATTTGAGAGTATTAAAAAATTTTAGAGTTTCGATTTTTTATTATGTTTTTGGATTTTTTACTTTTACAAGAAATAAAAATACTATCACTATTAAAATTATATTTTACAAAAAATTTTATTATTAAAATCATTTTTGGAATATTAATAAAAAATGTTCATTTAACAAAAAAACATATAGTTTCATAATACAAGTTTATTTATTTATTTAATAAAATTTTAAAAAATATGAGTTTCAGATTTTTAGAATTTTTTATTATTTTTTATAAAAAAAGTTATCAAATAAAAAAATTGAGTTTTACGAAGAATTTTCTTATAATAATCATCTTTGAACTATTAATAAAAAAATATTTATCTAGTTAAAACACATATAGTTTTATAGAACTAGTTTTCTTGTTTTATTAATAAAATTTTCAAGGATAAGCATATTTTGTCATCATAATTTTTTTACAAAAAGATCTATAAAGAAATATGAGTGAAGTTTTATCAAAAATCAAGCCTATTTCACAAATATTTGTCTATTTAATTTGAAATTTGATATGAGAATTTTTGAAACTCATCTTAACCAACTTTATTATTATTGTACAGTATATTTACTTTAAGTGTAATCTTCAAATTAATACAAATATTCTTATAAACATTAGAGAAAAAAATTCATATATGTGTTTTTAAATAAAAAAATTGAATATTTCTATGAGTTTTTAATAAAATGATCTAAAATTTTCAGAAAAAAATCTTATGGATATATTTAAAAAATTATATTAATGACTTTATAATAGTTTAGAATAAGAATAAAAAAAGATAGGTTCAATTGATCATTGTTTTTATCAAAAATACAAATTTGTATATGAAACTAAAATAAAAATTATTAATATTTCTATGAATATTAGATCAATTATTTTGAAAATTTATAAGCTAATAGAATGAAATCTTTTCTATAAATTTTAATAAAAGCATAAAATAGTTTTAGAACTAGAGAAATTAATTCAAAGATAGTTTTTATTGATTATTCTCTTAAAAAAAATTTATATATGTTTTTTAGAAAAAAAATATTGTTAGTTGATGAGTTTTCAACTAATATTAATAAAAATAAAAGTTCTGCTACTTCATATTATGCTGAACAACTTTTATTATTATTTGAAAAACACTTGTATTAATATATTTTTGAGTAAATTATATTTTTAATATAACTATTTTCTTAAAATATAATTCTTATAATAAAAAAATATATAAAAAAAGATGAAAATTCCTTTGTATAAAAATTCTTTTTATATGAAAATTCTTTTAATACAAAAATTTATTATTTTATTAAATAAAAATGTCTTAGTCTGAGAAATTCAAGAACTTTAAATATGGATTAAAGTTACAAATCCTGACAAATCAAAATTAAAATTGAACAAATACAGATGTGTTGTGATCAATTACAAATTGTACTATTAAGTCAAGATACAGAAACCAAACATCATGTTCTTCATTGATATTAAGAACTTTCATTTTATACAAAATTATACATAGATTAGTTATAAATCTAAAAATACAAACTCATATTATATTTGGATATATAATAAAGAGAGAACTATACAACTTCATCGATTAATTCATCCTAAATAGAAGATAATCGATCATAGCAATTCATTTCAAACAAGAAAATAATAAAAAAACTGAAAATAAAAATAGTTATCTAGTAACTTATTAATTTTATTTATTTAAATATTTGATAATTTTATTTATAATATTTATTTATTGAAATATAAATAAAAAAATTTATAATTTAATTTTTTTAACTAATCCTTCTATATTTTCAGTTGATTTTCTTTTATCATTGACTCTGTTTCTTTTAATATTATATTAATTAAATAAGTTTTATCTTTTTTTTTATTTATATATATTAAATTTTGATCTATATCTATATTAGATATTTGTTTATATTATTGTCTACTAGTATACTAGATTTGAAGACTAATTTAGATCAAATTAATTTGTTTACATCTTTATTTTATTCTAGTATAAAAAAAATATATTAGTTGTGATATAGTGTTAAATCAAAACCTAGTTAATTTATAAATCTGTAAAAATATTTTTTTATTAATTATTGTAAATTTAAAATTAGATTTATTGTTGTTTTTATGTTTGATAATGATATCATATTTTGAGGATTTAAGAATAATTTAAATTTTTTTTTTTTAGAAATTTCTTATATTATGTTTTTCTGATAACTGTTTGTACAAGAATAATAGTATTATAATTAGTTTTGTATTTTTTTTATTTTGCTTGCCTATTATATAATTATTTCTAATATAAATGTATACAAATTATGTTTTTTTTTTATGTGGTTCACACCATGTGTAAAATCAATTGTGTACTATTAATGTTTTCTCCTGTTGATTTCTGAAAAACATGCTCTGTTATCTTTATTATTGTTACCTACTTTAATTACCAATATAGTTGACAACAAGATTGTAAAGAGGTGAGTACAAAAAACTACTTCTCTACTTCATTTAATCTTTAAAAGTTTTGTCTATCATAATTGTTGCAAGTTGTTATTAATTATTTAATTATAGTATCACTTGAGTATGCCTAATTATTATTTGTTTTTTGTTTTACTTATAGAAAAAGATCTATAAGAAAAAGTTTATATTAAGCTTAACTTTATTTATGTTTAACATTGATTTTTATATTATGATTTTATTTTTATTTTTAATTTTTATTTATTTTAATGATTATATAAAAGAGTTTTCTTAATACTTATAAATTTAACCTCTACATAAACACAAACTTTTTATAAACTCCGAATTCTTAAAACCAAAAGTGTGATTATAGAGAAGGTTGGCAGTAGTAATTTTGCTAGAACCGTGCTTGAAGGTTGTTTTAGTAATTGATACTTAGAGTTGAGAAATATGCAGTATTGTATTAGTGAATGAAAATGGAAAAGTACAGATTTCAAGTAATAAGAACAAGAATACTTAAAATCCTATTCTTATCACAGTAGAATTTAAAACCATCATTCTCGGACCAGATATTTCTATGTATCAATCGAAGACTTCCAATATTAAGGTTGTTGTGCAACCTTTATCCCGACCCATAACTATCCCGGAAGTCAGTTTGCCATTTTCAATGTACGTACGTATATATATAGTAAGATGAGAGTGCGATACACATTAAACATCTTTCTAAACTTTAAATTATGATAAAATATGTGAACAATTATTTGAGCTTTTTGAATTTAAAATTTATATTTCATGGGTAAAAAGACTAAATTTGAGTTATACCTGAAATCTGCTGAAGATGGCAATTCAGACGGACAAAATGGCCTTGGATTCTGTTACGAAAATGGCATAGACACAGCCAAGGATGAAAAAAAGGCATTTGAGTGGTATTTGAAATCTGCTGAATGTGGCAATTCGAATGGACAAGATAACCTTGGATTCTGCTACGCAAAAGGCATAGGCACAGTCAAGGATGAAAACAAGGCATTTGAGTGGTATTTTAAATCTGCTGAAGGTGGCAATTCGAATGGACAATATAATCTTGCATTGTATTATGAGAACGGCATAGGCACAGCCAAGGATGAAAAAAAGGCATTTGAGTGGTATTTAAAATCTGCTGAAGGTGGCAATTCGAATGGACAAGATAACCTTGGATTCTGCTACGCAAAAGGCATAGGCACAGCCAAGGATGAAAAAAAGGCATTTGAGTGGTATTTGAAATCTGCTGAAGGTGGAAATTCGAATGGACAAAGTAACCTTGGATTCTGTTACCAAAACGGCATAGGTACAACCAAGGATGAAAAAAAGGCATATGAGTGGTATTTGAAATCTGCTGAAGGTGGTTATTCGGATGGACAATATAATCTTGCGTTGTGTTACGAGGACGGTATAGGCACAGCCAAGGATGAAAAAATGGCATTTGAGTGGTATTTGAAATCTGCTGAAGGTGGCAATTCAAATGAACAAAATAATCTTGGATTCTGCTACCGAAAGGGCATAGGCACAGCCAAGGATGAAAAAATGGCATTTGAATGGTATTTGAAGTCTGCTGAGGGTGGCAATTCAAATGAACAAAATAGCCTTGGATTCTGCTACCGAAAGGGCATAGGCACAGCCAAGGATGAAAAAAAGGCATTTGAATGGTACTTGAAATCTGCCGAAGGTGGCAATCCAAATGGACAAGATAACCTTGGATTCTGTTACCAAAATGGCATAGGTACAGCAAAGGATGAAAAAAAGGCATTTGAGTGGTATTTGAAATCTGCTGAAGATGGCAATTCGGTCGGACAAAATAACCTTGGAGATTGCTATTTTGAAGGCATAGGCATCGATAAGGATGAAAAACAGGCATTTGAGTGGTATTTGAAATCTGCTGAAGGTGGCGATTCGAATGGACAAAATAACCTTGGATTCTGTTACGCAAACGGCATAGGCACAGCCAAGGATGAAAAAAAGGCATTTGAGTGGTATTTGCAATCTGCTGAAGGTGGCAATTTGAATGGACAAAATAACCTTGGACTCTGCTACCGAAATGCCATAGGCACAGCCAAGGATGAAAAAAAGTCACTTGAGTGGTATTTGAAATCTGCTGAAGGTGGTTATTCGGATGGACAATATAATCTTGCGTTGTGTTATGAGATCGGTACAGGCACAGCCAAGGATGAAAAAAAAGCATTTGAATGGTATTTGAAATCTGCTGAAGGTGGCAATTCGAATGGACAAAATAACCTTGGATTCTGCTACCGAGATGGCATAGGCACAGCTAAGGATGAAAAAAAGGCATTTGAATGGTGTTTGAAATCTGCTGAAGGTGGTCATTCCACTGCACAATATAATCTTGCGTTGTGCTATGAGGACGGAAAAGGCACAGTCAAGGATGAAAGAAAGGCGTTTGAATGGTATTTAAGATCTGCAGAAAATGGTTATTATTCTGGACAATATGAAGTTGGATTATGTTATCGAAATGGCTATGGAACATCGCCTAATCAAAAAAAAGCTATTGAATGGCTACAAAAAGCAAAAAGTAATAATTTTCAAAAGGTGGTTGATTCTGAAAATATTGATTATTCTTTAAAAAATTTATTATCAAACAGTAATTTATCAATATCATGGATTCCATTTAATGAGTTAGAATTTGGAGGGAAAATTGGAAAGGGCGGATTTGCAACTGTGTATGCTGCTAACTGGAAACGCACAACCACATTTGGTGATACTTTAAATCGAAAAGTTGCACTTAAATTATTTCATGGATCAAAAAATAGCTGCGAGGAACTCGTAAAGGAGGTAAATAATTGATAAAGTTCTAAAAATTTGGTAATAATAATAATCATTTATTAATAAATATAAATTTTAAAGTTAATCGCATATTCAGAGATTGGATCTAACAATCCCACATTTTTGCAATGCCATGGAATATCAAAAGATGAAGGCACAGATGAATACATTTTAGTTATGCAATATGCGTCAATGGGATCATTACGTAGTAATCTTTACGATATTGCACAAATGAAATGGGAGAAAAAGCTAGAATTATTATCTTATATTGCATCCGACCTTCATATGATTCATTCCAATAATATTATTCATTGTGATTTACATAGCGGCAATATATTTCAAGCTAATTTACATAATGCTTATATCGGAGATTTAGGATTTGCAACATCAATTAATAAAACATTAGATAAAGAATCGGGAGGAATTTATGGAGCTTTACCGTATATAGCTCCTGAAGTTTTGCAAGGAAAACCATTCACTAAAGCATCAGACATTTATTCATTTGGAATGATTATGTGGGAGATTTCTTCAGGAAACGTTGTTTTTTCCGACTATAAAGATGATGATTTAAGATTGACAATAGAAATTCGAGAAGGTTTAAGACCAACTATTATTAAAGGCACAACATCATGCTACGTAAATCTTTTGAAGAGATGTTGGGATAAAGAACCAGAAAAACGACCGTCAGCTATAGAAATTCATGAAACTATTTTAAAATGGAAAAATAGTTCGGAATTTTTAACAGAATTTTTAAAATCTGATAAAGAAATGGAGATCAGGAACAAAGGCTCTGATAATATTGAGGATAGTATGATTCATACTACCAAATTTATTAGTTATATTAATCAACATTCACATGAACACATGAGTGCAAATGTAAATGAAATTATTTCTAATAATAATATTTGCATCAAAGATATTAAAAATGATTAGGATCTGATACTATAGTGTGTGTAAGGTGATTATAGAAAAATAATCGTTCATAATAATGTACTAAATAGAAAAAATATTAAGCAAACTATATATTTATTATTAAAGAGTCAATAATAAAATACATTATCGTTATGAAATAATTAATTAAATAGATCATGGCTGTTATATGTAACAGGTTTTTTATATTGTATTGTAGTTGCCAACATAGCGGCTTTCTCTGTGATTGGTTATTTTTTATCTTCCCCAGGATCGCCAGAAAAATTTTTACTATCACGTAATAGATATGCCAATCAAATTGCACTATTAAAATCGTGATTTATCATGGTCTTCGATCTTCATTTTTTTTTATTATATTAATACAGTAATACAATACTATCGCTATCTATTACTATCGTTATATACATTGAAAAATTTTTTTTAAATCAATACTATCGCTATTGTTATATACAAAAAATTAACTCATTTTGTGATCTTACTAGTAGATAAAATAGTTCGCTTTTTCAAAAAAAAAAGTTTAGAGGCCCTTTATATATACGTGATAAAAAAAACTGAAGTGTGGATATAGCAGCAAAAAGATAAGAAATAATATAAATGTTTGATTCTTGTTTGATTATTTAATTTTATTGGAACATATGTTAAAGAAAGTTGAACTTGAAAATTAATTTAAAAAACAGATATTATTAGTGTGCCCTTTTCAAGTTAAAGGTAAGGTTCTTTTTTTTTTATATTGCTTCACTTCCTCAATTATCTTTTTAATTGAATTAAAATTTTTTTTAACACTTTTAGACCATAGAACATTACTGGTTTCCTTTTGCTATTCAAGAAGCATTAATGCTTTGGTCATCAAGGTTATTAACTCATAATATGAGCTGTATGCTGAGAAAAGAGACCAAATTAATTTTTTTTTTGAAAAAAAGTTCTTAAATAAAATAGATGTAGATTTGATCATCTGATTTAGAACATTTATTATTTTCAAAAAAAATTTTTTGTCAATTTGGTCTCTTTTCTTAGCACATAGCCCATATATTTTATCATTATTTTTATTTTGATTATTATAAATTTCAATATTATTAATTTTATTATCATTATGCAAAATAATTGACTGAATATTGACAAGGTCTTGATTACATTCAATTAAAAATGAAAATTGATTATTTCTTTTTATTTAATCAAAAAAGTTACCAAAAACTGGTTCTTTTTGGTAAACTAAATGCTTACAAACATCAAATCAGCTTGTTAGATAATATATGCATTCACATATTCACTAATCTATATTTGTTAAATATATGTTATTTATAAGATGTCTTGATAGCATTCTTTATTCAAATTTAAAATATTTAATCCATTTCAATTTTTCTCTTTTGATAATGATTTGTTGTAACTTTCATAATTGATGAAATATTACTTTCGATATGATAATATATATTACTAAGTCTAGATGTGATTAGAAAAACTTATAAAAAAAATTCTGTTTTATTACTTTCTAGTGTTCTTCTATAAACATAGTAGTTTTAAAAACTGATACTTTATCTTTACAAGTGAATCTCACTTACAGACATTACTATTGGTCAATGTATCATTCACTTCACAGATAATACCAAAGTGAGACTAATGAATTTGTTTTACAAAAAGTATAAGTTTCTTGAATTGCAGTTTCTCATATCATCTCTTTAGTAACAAATTTACTATTATATGTAGAAATTAGAGGATGTTAATGGAAATGTTTTTCCATTATTTTCCAAATTGTTTCATAATGTTTCTTGAAACAGACTATAGATAATTGTATGATATCATCAAATGGGAATAGAACTCCAAATTCTGATAATAGGTTGAATAAAGACTTTTTAGATACTCTATTATTTGCTAATTATGATATTACAGCTTATTTTATATGCTATTTACATAACTGAATTTTAAAATTATTCCATATAAATTATATAGCATTAATTTAGGCAGTCTTTATTAGTTAACAAGAATTCTAGTTGAATTTCTTTATTGTACAATTTTACAAGAAAGACCTAGACAATAGTAGTATAAATACTTTCCTTATATTTTTTATTATTATCTAAAAATAGATAGGCCAATGGAAAACCTGTACCACTTACCTCAATATGAAAGCAATAGGGTTTTATTCTAAAGTTATTAGTATTATCTATATATTAATTTAATTCAAATTTATAAACAAAATTATTATTATTATTAGATATAACTGAAATAGTTTTAACTAATAATTATAACTTATAACTAATTTTATAAATCTAATTTAGGATGCATGCAACTTATGACAATATTACAATAATTTTTGTATTACAACATAGTGATAACACAACAATATAATGGTTAGTAATTTATATATAAGTAAAATGTTTTACTTACAAGTTGCATCAATACCACATTCTTGAATATTAATATTTTTTTGTTTTAAATAATTGTAGAGGTTTGTTATAGAGGCCAAGACATGAATAGGTTGCATTTCCTCTAAGATTATTTTGTGTTGACCTTCATAAAGCCATTGTACTGCAGATTCAAATGCATTGTCCTAATATTTGTATTTACTCTGTCCTAACTCTGTTCACCAAAAATGTATTTGTTTTTATCTAATTGAGAGATTCATGCTATTATTAACAAGTCATGCATAAATTTCTTATGGAAGCAAGTCTATATTCTCTTTAATAAATTCTTTAACACTTTGAGATACAATTATGTCTTTTAGTTTATCATGTACTAATTTATGCTTCAACATTAATTTGGCTATCTTAATGGATTAGTTAATAGTAATAAGTATAATAAAAATGGTATATAGAAAGTGTTATTGGATTTAAGGGTATTACTGTCAGAATAGATTTTCCTATTTCTAAAAAGTTATTGTTTTGCAATTTCTCTAAATAAGATTTATTGCGATTTGCAAAATTATGTAAAACTTGAAGTTATTAAAAAAAAAAAGTAATCATTAATTCCGATTTTAATGAATTTATCGATTTGTTTCTGACAAATTAATTCGCGAAATAGGTCCAACTTTTGTGTTAAACTAAAGCGTAATGACTTTATGGATTTATTTATTGAAAAATTAGCGATTGGTTAGACATCAAAAGAATAATGAATCAATGTCATTCATGAATTGATAAATTTTCGAATTTGTTGTATGATCTTAGAATCATCTTCATTAGAAGATTCGTGATTAAAATCGCGATTTATTGAACATGAATAATTTGATAATGAGATACGATTGACTATTATAAAAAAGATTTAAATGTGAAAAATGTGTGTATTGTGGAGGATATAATACGAGTGATGCACAGTGATTAAATATGTTCAATCATTTATCAACAGACCATACTCAAAAAAAGTTATTATAATCGGTCACAATCAACAAATCATATAATTGACGATTTTTCCTAATCGATTATTATCACTACTCGTTAGAAGCATTTGCAAGTAGGGCTTCAACTTTTGATTCCATCTTTTCTTTAATATCAGTTACTCTTTGTGCTGCCTCAGCTAACAAAGTTTTTTTCTGCTCTATGTCTATTAACAATGTATTAACTTGATTTTGGATTCGACCCTATTCATTTAAAATTAAAATGTATTAGTTATATAAATTGAAGAATACTGAAGAACGCGATTAAACCAATAAAATCGAACCTGCATGACAGCATTAATCTCTCCTCTTAGATCAGAAATTTTCTTATTTAAGTTGGTTTCCAATTTTGCCAATTCAGCTGTCAACTCCCTTTGTCTTGTAAATAGTTTGTCCAATTCTTCTTCTACATAATAATCAAATATTAAACCTCAATATATATTCATCAAAACTTGAAAAAAAATACTTACGATCTTCTTCTTCTGAATCTGTTTCACTTGCATCAGATTCTTCAACATCATCTGCATTACTCTGACTATCATCATCCGACAATTGATCTAATCCAATTCTGAACTCTTCAGTAATATCATCATTTTGAGCATGCTCATCATTTTCTGATTCGTCAAGTATACTGGTCTGCCCTTCTACCAAAACTTGTTCAAACTCTTGCAATCCTTCCATATCCATATCATCATTTTCTTGAGACTCTGCTTCGTAGTCATCATCTTCTCCCAATTCATATTCTTCTGTTTCTTCAGGGAGTGATTCCGCAAGTGCAGCGGGTGTAGCAGTTTCTGAATCAACAGCATCTTCCCAATCTTTATACAAATTGTTATATATGATTTCTTATTAATTATTATATAAAGTTTGTATTATCTTTATATAAACCAAACATTACCAATTTTGACCTCTTCTGCCAATGAATCATCATGTAATAATTTTTCGACTTCTTTTTCAATATCTTCGATTTTCTTCAAAAAAAAATAATGATTTAAATATATGTAAATATATAAAATTACAATAAAATGATAAAATCAGCTCACTTTATTAGAAATACGTTTCCTAAATCTCCTATTTCTAACATTCTTCAAAGGTGGTGTTAACCCATCAGGCCATTCAAATTGATCAATACCTGAAGATGCCGTGTTTTCAGTAAAAAAATGCGCTTCATCTTGAGTATCAATCGGTGATTCTACTATTAACATCTAATCATGTTCAAAAAAAAAATTAAAAAATTTGAAAAGTGAATTAAATCAATAAAATGACAATGAAAAATTTCAATTACCTGACAAATATCTGCAACTTTGTAAAATTGTTTATTGTTGAAGGTTTTTTGTGCTTCTATAATACAAGGTAAATCCACTAATCGCGCACTATATTTTTGATTTTCGAATGTGAAGATTGCACGACGGGAGTCTATTTTGATCCGTGGTTTATGAGAAACTATTAAGCACCTGTCTTGCGTAAGCACAGTAATGTTCATATATTTGTTAATTTACCTTTAAACATGATTTCAACATCTTCAACAAAAGTTTGTTTTCTCACTTTCTCTCTGAAACGTTGTTTTACATCTTCAGGTACTAACAATCTCAAAATGAATTGTTCTTCTACTGGTGCTTCAGGCTCCTCATCGTCGGGTATTTTGCCCAAAAAAATGTGCTTTTTTTTTGTTCCGTCACTTGTACTCGGTATTTTAATTTTTAAAGGTGCTGATGCTGCAGAAGCACCAACTGCTGCTGAAGTCAAAGTAGATGCATTTAAGGTAGGTAGGACTATTTTTTTCTTTGAGGTAGGAGAAATTCCTTCTTTCTTATGGCCCATGTAGTGTTAGTAGTCGGGTTCTTAATTATATCGACCCTATAGATTAACTTTATTGTGATTGGTCAACCGAAATCGGGTTTATTAAAACCGATTAAACCGGTGTGAAAAATAAAACTCATTAAATATTCGTCTAGGTATTAGGCATTAGGCCGTAGTTTCAAATACAGGTGGCAATTTTAAGTTAAACTTCGGTCTCAACATTAAAAGGATTAACAATTTGATAATGATAAAGATAATAAAAATGTGATGTATCACAAAAGATTTATATTCTCATTTAACCATATCCATCAATTTGATTTTTAGAAGTCTTTTTTTCTAAATTGCTATACAAACTTTGTCATCAATTGACGCGAAATAACAATCAAAAAGCTTTTTTTTAGTATTTACGTTTTACTACTAAATTTGTTAATTATGGGTGATTGAAATTGAAAATTCGTAAAATTGATTCGTTACTTTTTTACCTTATTAGACTTCGTCACTGAAGGATCCATTCTATGATTAGATTTAGTCCTTAATATCATTTTTCTATTAATAAATCCTTTTGATCAAGTAATTGAAGCGCCTAGAACGATCGTATTTGACCTGATGTAATCATTGTGGTTTAATTCAATTAACGATAATCAATTTACAGATTTTCCTTTTCGTTACTCATATCGCACTTGCGCAAACAATGTCTTGGAGTACTATGTCGAGACACACAATTTAAAGGGAGCTAAGAATTAATTTAACCGAATGAAAAAATCTTTAAATTAATTCTTGGCTCTCTTTAAATGACCAACTAGTTGCGATATATAAGTTAAGGATGATGCAAATAATATTATAACGTTTATTAATTTGCTGAGCAGTGGTAAAGTGGTGTATTGTCATCTATCATTATTATAATTATTATTTTGTTTTTCTTGTGAATTCTGTAAAAATTTAACTTTTCTTATTTTTAATAGTTGGTGTACCATTATCAACGCAGATACTGATACTTTTCATGAAATAAAATGGTACAAAGATTGAAATATCGTATTATGGAAAGTCTGTTGGTCTGATTCTTTATTTTAGGATCTTATAAACTATTGTTATTATTATTATTATGTTTTCTGCTTATAATAACTACGCTATCAATGTTGAAATTGGCTGATGCTAACATTTGGCCTAAAATTTTAAAATAAGATATACGTTTTGAGCATTATTATGTCATTATAGTACGGAACATTGTTAATGAATTGTTGTTTATAAATGGGTAAAACATGATGAAAGTAGATAGTAGGGTTTATAATCTGTTATTACCAGCTTTTAATATCGTTTTTAACCATAAATTATGAAGATTATTAAATGATCTATTTATTTGCTTGAAAGTTTTATGTTGAAAATTTTTTCAGAAAATATTTTAGAAAACATTTTAGAATATCTAAATTCTAAAGCAAAAAAAAACTTTTATTTTGATTCGTCTAACCTCTTAAAGATCTGTTTTAACGTATACATGGATTTTTGCGATACATAAACTAAATAACCTTTAAATGGTTATTTGATTCTATTTAACAATATTAAATTATAATTATAAATTTTTAAAAAATTTACATTTTATATACTATTTAGATATCTTTAGGGTTCAAGCATAAAATCTTCGGTAATCTTATTAAGTAACTTTGTTAAAAAAATAACTTTATTAGATAACTTTATTAAACAACCAATTTTATTAAATAATTTATTAGACGAATAAATTTATTAATATATCGTTACAAAATATAAATTATTTAAAAACCATAAACTAATAAGTTTTAGAGATACTTAGTTTCGGAGATTATTATCAGTTACGTACTGGAATTCAAAATTAAACATCGGTACTTAATAACTCAAATAGTGGTACTAATAACTTATTGACAAATATATATATTACAATGAAGCAATATACAAATTGCATTTTAATTTATTTTCACTACGTATACATACATATATTTTATATATTCTTTTTTTATTAACGCTACATCCATTAATTTACGATATAATAAAAATTTTCGAAAAAAGTATTAAAACTATCGCCAATAAAAAAATATTCGAATAATAATCTCCTATATTTAAATGTCTAATTTAATTTTCTTAATAAATAATTATTTCGATAATTAGTCTGCCGAAATTATTGTCAAGACTATTAAATTCTTAAATAAATATATTAATGTAATTATTTGTGAAAGTCTATGCAAAAAATATGGCAACGGCAAAATTTTTTGCAAAATTACCTTTTTTCAAAATTACTTTTTTACAAAAGTAATTTAGACACCCATGTATATCATTGTACTATTCTTTTTAAAAATTTTTTTTTAATAGACCAATCACGTTTACCTATTTTCTTTGTTAAGAAAAAGTTTTCAAATTTTCAATAAACTTAATCGTTTATAAATTATTTTTATTAATATGTAAAAATATAATCAACTCTTTTTATAACGAACTAACAGTTCTAAAAAAAAAAAACGGTCATTATAGAAAATTACTATGTTTTCTTAAGGACTCTATGTCGAACTATTATGAAATTTTAAATTTCTGTGTTAGTTATATCTAGAATTTATATATAAAAATTTATTATATTCAAAATCGGCTATATAAATAGCTTGTACAAAATAAAATTAATAAATAATACCTTCACTGATATTTCTTTTAATTTAATAGCTTTATCGTTTATAATCTCAATATCACTGGCACTTAAATTATATTCGTCCATACTTATATCTATTTCAGCTTCTTTATCATCACGATATTTCACTTCGGAATTAGATAATGCTAAGGGTATATAATTTGTTGGGGTTTATAAAGAAATAAATGCATTAATTCTTATTAACATATTGGGAAAAAGTTGTTTTTAGTGGTGATGAAACTAACTAAATGTTTGCAAAAAGCAAACCAACTTTTAAAAAATTTATAAACATCAGTAACGCTTTTTTTTAAAATTAGATAAAGTAAAACTTTTTTTCACATATTCACTTTGTACCTTCTTTAATACATGTTAAGCATTCAACTCAATTTTTTTTTTTTTTTACAAAAAAAGCATTTGCTTTCTGCTCGATTTGCAATATAAAGAAGTAAAAAAAAAATATAGTTTTATCACTTACTGTAACTTAAAAATGTTTTGATAATTAAAATTTAAAATTAATTGTACATATGAACCACCGAATTTATAAATTTAATTGAGTTTAAACCGTAATTGATTGTTTGGGCGATGCTCGGTTCGTACCCAACCATTACGTAAAAATGTATTTCTTTGGTTGGAAAGGTAATCATAAGGAATGGTTCTCAACGCTAAAGCCAAAACGATTTTACAACCACATTTGCATTAGTATTAGGTGCGTCATGCAGAAGCCGGTTGCTCTTTCTTTAAGAATTTTCTTTTTTAAATTCTTCTAAAAAGCTTTTTTTCTTACCACAGTTCATTTGCATATCTTCTACTTCACAGATTTTTTAACTGTTTAAGTTAAGAAGGTTCTTATGCAAAACTAGTAAACCTTTTTTGAAAGAGAAAAAAAAAACCAAATATTAAAAAAAATTACGAAACGAACTAAGTGCAAAAACAAACGCGTAAATTTCATCTAATTTAAATTGTTTTGATTTTTACGTTACACATCTGATCATCAATTTTCTCTACCAATCAAACATGTTGAATGTAAATCACATGATATTTGCTTCATGTAGGAAGGTTGATGTAAATTAATTGCCCAATTACTTTAAAATCCTTTTGAGAATGTAATGTTTACTAATAAAAAATCTTTTCCAAAACAATTAATAGCTTTAAACGAATGTTATTATTCACTATACAAAAGAACCTTTCCACTCACTGAATTTACCTAAAAGACAAAAAACATACCACCGTATTTTGGACTGAATGAAGTTATGCCGCAGAGTAAAGGTAATTGAAAAATTTTTCATCTAAAACTACTACTAATATTACGAAAATTCAAATCCTAGGGTTCGATTTTTTTATTTTTATAAAAAATATTAGACTCTAAAAAATTTTGAATCTAGATTGATTTTGGTGGCATAAAAAAAATTCTGTCAGTTTTGTCGATCATTGACTTAGATTAATTTGCATTAAGATAATTTTGAGGTTAGAATCTAAAAAGTTTATACCAAAATTATAAGAAATTATAAACTAGTGAGATAACAAGAAATTAATACTAATAATAAAAACAGCTACGCTAAGCTGCAAGAAAAAAACTATTAGTATTTGTAAAACATTTGAATATTTCAGTAGTTAAGGATTGATTTGTCACTGAACAAACGGTTGAACCATGATAAGGTGAATTAGGAAGCAAATTTTTAGGAAAAAGGCCTTTTAAACTTACTTCAACCAATGATGAATTAAACATATATAAATGTTATAATATTCTATACACTTAATTATGGATCCAAAGTATGTTTAAAAGATCTTTCTTTGCGAAGACTCATTTGTAATAAACTTTTATCCTCGATTATGACATGTAGCCGAGGACACTTTATGGACGAGTAAAATGGTACCAAGGCTGCGTTTTTGATGCACTAAAGCTGCGTTTTTGATGTACTAAAGTTCCGATTTTGTTGATAATATTAACACAAAATAATACGTAGCTCTGAATGCTTGCATAAATTTTATTGATGTCATTAACAAATTATTTGTAAGAAAATAAAGCAAAGATAAAACTCCGATCGATTATATGAAAAGTGGCCAACGAATATGACAAACAAAACTTTTTTAATATTTCAGTAACCGTTAATTATATAAATTCATGACTTGCTATTGCAAGTAATAAATTTACATAATAAATAGCAAAAGAACTTTATTCTCCAACGTTACTTGCTTCTGACAAATTTAACCTAACGCTAATACGTATAATCAGATTTGTTTACTGTACGTACGTACGTATTTCCGTACAGAACGTTTACTCTAAACAACCAATGAAAATTCAAGGACCGACAACTAATCAGATAATCAGATGGATTTTTAATCATGCCTAACGCTAAATTTTTTCCCATGCCCCCAACTCTATTCAACCCTATTTATAAGTATATATTTGTATTTATAATTTGAGTGGCGCCAAGGGAAAACCTGAATCCGGAAAGTACAGGTTACTATCATCACGATGAATTGCTAATGATTTTAATAACCTATACTTTCCGGATTCAGGTTTTCCTTTGGCTGCACTCATTTTACAATCAACATCTGTTTAACTCATATGGCAGGCCATTTAGCAAATATCATGCCGGGATTCCATCTTGGCATGCCATTATATAAGCATAATAAAGAATTTTTTTTCTACGTAGAATATTATTAAAACTTGTTTTAGCAATTTATACGTATTATGTAAATAAGTTTATACGTGATAAAGACATATCATAATAAAATTTAGACACTTTGGCATGTCACAGTGACATACCAATGGTATCATGTCAGGTTTCTATTGCGGATATAAGGCATTTCATTAACATCTGTTTTAAGGTTTATTGATTCTGAAAGAGAATTGTCAGAGAAATTAGTTATGTACCTCCTTAATAAGCTCGATTACTAACTTGATAGTTTGTGAAGCCTGCCCTCTTGTTAATTGTGCTTTTAACTAAGCTTGACAAAATACTGACATCTTTACAGTTCTTTGAAAATATTCATATCGGTAATTCCCTTAGGTTAGGATGCATCAATCATATACGTATAATTTCATATGAGTGACGAAAAGGGAAAACCTGTAAATCATTTCACATAATAAGTGAAATGATTTACAGGTTTTCCTAAACTGCCTTCTGTTGCGCTTCTAGCTAAATTTGGCAGAAAACAAGAAGTAACCAACATTCTAAGTTACTATAATTGCGTACGTAGGCAAGTTAAAATGTTCTTTTTCATAATTTTATACGTAGTTGCTTTATTAATTTTATTTTTATAATTTCTTATTATAAATTAATTATTTTTGTATAAGTATATATATTAGCACCTACAATTGTTAGTCAAAACCTAGTTTCGACTTTCGGCAAAAAAAAATTTAAAATTAACTGCCCGATACGAAAGTATCAGAGTAGCATTTTGTCTCTAAAAGCCGCTTGCAACCCTGCTAAATATCACAGAAAGGAGTGAAATTTGGTGGAAAGACAACTTTGCTGAACTCTTCACAAAAAGTCAATTAATGACAAAACTTGAAAAAATGATGCCCAATGCAAAATGCGCAGCCATACTTGCTTTTCTTCATAAAATAACCATATTCTTAGTTGGCTCACTTGTCCAATACACAGCAGCCATAATCAACAGGGCCATGAAAAAAGGAAGAGAGGCTGGTGCTAAATACAAAAGCGGGAATATTTTTATCCTTGCAAGACATCCTCCTGAAGTTAGTCATCAACAATTGGGACGATACTAAAGCAACCACCAGCAATGATTACGCAATGTATGATCAATCACAAACACATGAAACTGTTCACTTTGAAGATTTATTGCACAAGCATGTTGGAGCCCCAGAATTTCTGAGAAAGTATTACGTTGCATTGAAAAATACCACACTGATCCAACATGGCTATCTTTTTATGCAAAGAGTGACTGGAGAAGCAGAAACTTACGAGTACAATACCTATGTAAACATAGCCCACTCCAATCTGCACTATTACATCCCCCAGACGTACCACAAATGTATTCTGGAAACGATAGCGCAATTAACTCAATTCTTGCAGAAAAGCACATCTTCAAATTGATTGGCCATCAATTCACCTTGCAAGGAAAAACTTTCGTTGACTTTGATCCTATTTTCTGCGGCTGGAAAATAAAAAACGGAATATTCAAAATCCCAAGATTGATCTACGCTAAAATCAAAGTGGCTGAAGAAGCATTAATTAATTGAGTAATTGTATCGTAATTGATTGCATGATTTATATGGCATGGTGCAAGGTAATAATAGCGTATAAACTATAGTAGATTGTAGATATTCGATTTGTAAGCGTTGAACTTATCGATACGGTTACGTAGTGGATAGTGTTACGGTGGTAACGTGAAGAAGGTATGATAATAGGCAGTGCGACGGGCTGTGTGAAACTTAGAATCAGTACAAGCCCTATAATTGTAAATAGAATTTTCTAAATTTGTAAATACTTACCCTTTTGTAATCGAAGATCGTAACCGAATTAGTATAATCGTACCCAGACCCTGTAATAGTTCTTAGTATCGAAACCACGGATCACTGAAACTAAGTAGTGATAGTGTTAGTAAACGAAACTACTAGTTTCATAGATCAAAAGGTTCGATTATCGTACCTACTAATAAATCAAAAAGTATAAAAACAGGGCTTTCGAGCCTTTAATAAAGTCAGTTGTTTTGATGTCTTAAATTGGTTGAATAGAAGAATCGATTGCTCAAGTGTTTGAATAAATTTTGTTGTTAGAATTTTATTTACTTAATAAAAATTGTTTAATAACCCTTTTATTGAAAGTTCTGTTACATTTCTTTTAGTATTTCAAAGTATCGTCATAATTCGTTATTACTAGATTAATTTATTTATTCAATGCTCCTTAATTAATTACATCAGTGACGTCATTAATTGATCGGATATGTATCATTTCATCGACAATCGCTTCGCCGAACACCCAATCGCACAGAGTGATGGTTAATATTTAACGATTGTTTGATGATTAATAATTATTGTTCAATATTACTCATTATACTGTGTGATAGGGTGTTCGGTGAAGTGATCATCAATGAAATGATACGTATCCAAATTGATCCAATAAATTAAAATTATTACATAAGTGTGACTATCACTTAAATTGATTAGTAACTCGATCCGGCTTTACTTATTTTTGCGAGTGATACAAACCCAAAAAAGAAAATTCGACACAAAAATAAACTAAGTACGTGTCAATTAAAATTTAGGGTTAGGGTGTTAGAGTTCAGGGCTATAGTAATAGAATATTGCGTATTATATGTAAAATTTTATTTCCGACATTTTTAATTAGTGTATTAAGGTCGATTAAAACATTAGTTTTCGAGTATTTTCGCTTTTTTGACTTTTTTCTTTATTTGCACGTGATCGGATTTCATGTCAGACTGATCCGGGATAATCAAAATTTATGCTCTCCGATTGGCTAACTTCCCTTTTTGGGCTTGTATCACTTACACAAATAAGTGCACACACTCGATCCCACATAAATTAGTTAATTGATTCTTATTAAATTACTAATCTATGTGAACAAGCCATCCTATCAATAGTACTATATTACACTACTCATAATAACTTTTTATTTAAGCTCACTATTGAAGTTAAATTGAATGAAATAGTTATTAAAATTCTTTCAAATAATAGTAACATTTGATGTCAGTTATGTGAATTGAATAATAAAAAAAATTTTTAATGATTCAAGGTCTAATGCAAACATTAGTAACACAAATCACTGCCTTATTACAGTAATTGCAAAGTACACTATTTGTATAAGTAAATATTTCTGAAATTAACTGAGAATTAAATACCATTTTTTATCAAGATTTCTATAAAAATGATCAAGATCCAACTATATAGCTTAAAGATATAAAAAAAGCATTTAATACAAACATGGTCTTTGATAATCAAAAGATTTCAGTAATAGTTTCAAAATTAAGAAGATCAACAGTAAATTGGTGAATTACATAAAGAATACAATATTTTGTTATCAATCTATAGCATGATCCTAATATTTTGGCTTTAAATTTTACTTTTAATTTTATCATCAAATTTCAAATATCTGAATTGGAAGCTAAATTATTTGCTCAATTAACATAACAAAAATAATTAACTGAAGAAACTGTTAACAATTATCATATTTTTATTGAAGAAATGATTAAAAAAGTTAAATTAGAAGGGTATTAATATTCTAATATCATAAAGGCTCAAATGTTTATAAATGGACTGCATTCTGAACTCTATATAGTAGTGTCTTCATTAATCTCTAATATGTTAGAAAATGCTTATGTTAGAGCAAAAGTCTTTGAAAACACATATAGGAAGAACCTAACACATACAGCTTTTATAGTTTAACCTATAGAATATTCAATATATTTACCTTAGAGAATGGTTGATATTTTAGTTGCCTCTTAGATGAACTATAATAAAATAAAAAAAAACTTTACTTAAACTAACAGAGATCATTAATAAAATGATAACTTAGTATCAAGATTAAAGAAGATCATGATAAGCATGACAGGATAGTCCTAACACAAATTCAATGATAATCTGTTTTATTTATGAATGACCTGAACATATTAGTCATTAATATTCTAATCTCCAAAATAATAATAACAATAATCCTAATCTAACTATTTAATAATCTTTTATAAATAATATAAATAATATGAATTCTTAAGAAACTTTATAGGTTTTGTTTATATTGTTGAATAATCCAATCTTTAATAGTCTCCAAAATAACTAGTCTACATATTTAGGGATTCATAAAAAAGATGAGTCCTTATTTCTTTTAGTGAAATGACATAAATAGAAGAAACTCATTACTAATACCATGTTAATACAGAAAAAAAAAATGTTAAAGAAAGAAAGAATATCATAAGGTTAGATAAAACTGAAGAAATTCTATTTCAAGATGTCAATATGGATAATAGAAACAAGATTGAGGACTTAGATGATGATGTTCAAAAAGTAATTTCTGATTTTATTAAAAAGAAAAAAAAAGAAAATGAGGATAACAAAGCTTTCAAGATTTGACAGAAGAAGAATGTTAAACTAAGATGAAAAGTTATTAAAAAAGAATTGCTCTAAATTTCCTCTTTGGTCTCTCTATATTCAATTGTTGCTGATATTAAAAATAAAACTGCCAATATCACTTATAGACAATTATTAAGAGTGTTTTAAAATATGCATCAAGAGTTGGTCTGTTCTTTGTAAAAAAAAAGAGTTAGCACAAGAAAAAAACTTCAGAGTAATATTAATTTATAACCTATTCTAAATTGATGATCTTGTATTGTAATACCAGAATCTATAATAAAAATATCTTACTAATAGTAAATAATAGATTCTTAGAAAGCATTGTTGCTTCATATTTATTACAAAACTTGGAATAAAAATTAAATATCTATTAGTAATAAATATAATTAATATTTATGATAAAAATAAATATGCAATAAGGAAAATTTTTAATTTCCTCTTTTTTGTAGAAGAATACTTATCCTTATTGATGTTATCATTACTAATGCCATCTTTTATTATACTATTATTAGTAATGATTAGCTTGCTAAAGTTAATGCTACCATCAACTAAAACTCATCTAATATGACTATTTATTGGGATAGTAAGAAGATTACAGTACTAGTTGAGTTTTAGAAGATAACAAGGTCCTTATTAAAAAAAGAAAAGACAGTAATAGTTAAGGAAATGATAAATAAAAATAAAGACAATAAAAAGGAAGTCAATAATTAATATAAAGAAGAAAAATTAGAAAAATCAATTTATGCATTATCTGAATTTGATGAATAAGATAATAATATTGGATATAATGATAACAAATTATAAAAAGAATGTTATAAAAAGAAGCAAATAGGTAATTAATGAATAGATCAATCTGAAATTACATGTTACATTGTTCAAAAAGAAAAATATCAATATATACTAGATCTATTTGATTACTGCTATAAAAATAAAATCCCAGCAGAGTCAAATATCAGATAAGAGAATTGGAAGCAGATCAAGAGTGATGATTGATCAAGCTCTTTGAAGAAAATATTAACCTCTGTATCAAGAATTTAGAAGAACTAAGATGTACAAGCTAAACTTACCATGAGATTCTTACTCATAGTTGTAGGTCAATTAAACAATATTCTTATAGGTATTCACTAGCTAAAAAGCAATTTCTTAAAGAAGAAATTGCTTTGATATTAAAAGAAGACATAATTCAATCTTCTAGTAGCCTTTGGTCATTATCAGTAGTTCTTATTAAGCAAAAGGCTTGAAAAATGCACTTTTGTATGGACTATAGGAAGTTAAATACTGTTACAATTAAGAATAACTACCTTTTACCTAGAGTAGATGAACTTCTAGATGCTTTGAATAAATTGTTATGGTTTATTTTATTAGATTTAGCTAATAAATACTGGCTAATAAAAGTATTGAAAGAAGATCAAGACAAGACAGCTTTTATTATCTTCTATGGAATATTTGAATTTAATATTATGCTATTTGGTCTTGCAAATGTTTTTGCAACTTTCTAATAGTTAATAGATAATATTTTTCATAACATCATTAGAAAATTTGGAGTCATCTATCTAGATGATCTTAATATTTTTCAGCAATATTTGAAGAACACTTAAGTCATTTAGAAGAAGTATTCTATCATTTAAGGAAAACTAAGTTAAAACTTAAACTTTAAAAATATTATTTTATAAAGAAACAACTAAAATTTCTAAGATATATTGTAAGTTCAGAGGGAATTTCTACTGATTAAAGCAAAATCCAGACTGTTTAAGAATTTCTTGTTTTCAAAAATTTATAACAATTAAGAGAATTTTTAGGATTAGCTTTTTACTATAGGCATTTCATCACAAAATTCACAAACATTACTACTTTCTTTAATGCCTTATTAAAAAAGAATACTCAGTAATGATAGACTCTTGAATATCAGGACATTTTTAAAAAATTAAAAAGAAAACTCATAAGTACTTCAATATTAGCTTATTCTAACTTCAATCGATTGTTTATTATCTTTACAGATGCATCCAACTTGGCTTTAGGAACTATATTATCACAAGTGAATGAAGAGGCAAAAGAATAGATAATTGTATATGTGAGTCACTTTTTGATAGCAGCATAAAGAAATTATGTTATCATCGAAAAAGAGTATTTTGCAATAGTTTGAACAGTTTCTTATTTTTGTATCTATTTGCATGAAACTTATTTTACTTTATACACAAACTATTCAGCATTGAAATCATTATTTTCATATCAACTACTCCAGAATTGACTGGTTAGATAGATTCTAACCTTACAAAAATACTTATTTACTACTATTTACAAATTCAAAAACTTTCATTTAAACACCAATGGCCTATCTTAAATTTAGTATAAAACTTCTTTAATTAAGAAACTCTATTTATATATATCTGAATGCCTCATTCAGAAATCCCTTATTAAATACAACAGACTTTTATAAAAATAGAAATGTACACAAATTTTATTAATTATCTTAGCTGATCTAAGGTTTTACTAAATAGTACTAAAAAGGTAATAAAGCATTTAACCTATCATTACTTTGTTAAAAATGAATTATTATATAAGAATAATCTACATGATTTATGATGGCCTCTAAAAGTATTAAAACCTTATGAGACAGAAGTTGTATTGCATATAATGCATTCAAACTCTTTAGCAAAACATTTTGGAAAGACTGCTACTTATTAAAGAGTCATAATTTATTACTTTTGATCTCAAATAGGTAATGATATAAAATGATACATAGAGTCATATGACTCTTGCTAATATAAAGAGTAACCTAAAATCTAAAAGCCCCTTCATCCAATTAGAATTGGCCAGCTCTTTAATTGAATAAAAATAGATTTTGTTGGTCTTCTTTCTGTAATCTCAAGTATTAAGAAGTATATTGTTGTAGCCATTAAATATCTTACCAAGTAGCCTAAAGTATGTGCATTAGAATAGGTAAATGCTGAATTTGTGGTAACTTTCATTTTTGAAGATGTCATTTGTCACTATGGAAGCCTCTGTGAATTGTTGTCAGACTAGAGAACTTATTTTTGTAATAAATTAGTAAGTTCCTTATCTAAAAGAATAAAAACTTATTATAAAATATCAATGGCTTATCATTTTTAGACTAATAAGTTAGTAGAATAATTTAATAAAACTCTTTGTGAAATACTAGCATAATGTATAATGCAATATAACAAAGAATAGGATGAATTTATTTTTGTAGTTTTGTTTGCTTATAGGATAACTCACTACAATATAATCTAATATAAATCTTTCTATCTGATATTTAAATAGGATGTACTACTTTCAGTTGAAACTGTAGTTTTAATCTATTTTGTTGAACTTGCTACAGAAATAGATTTCCAAATTCAGATTTTTAGAAGAATTAAGGTGCTACTTGGAAACTTAACTTTAGCTAGACAACAAGCATGAATCAATGTTAGAAACTCTTTGCAAAAACAGAAAAACTATTACAATTAGAGGTATAGAACAGAAACTTACTAGATTGGAGACAAGGTTTTGCTGTATGAAACCTTCTTGAAAATATCACACAGTACTAAGCTTGAAAAATGATTTATAGGACCTTATTATATTTACAATATATTTGGTAATAGAACATATAAATTGAGAACTATTCATGCAAGTACTGACAAACCAGAGTTAATTAAAAAAGTCCTTAAGAAAACTGTATATGATAACAGATTAAAATAATATATCTTACTCTCTGTAAAGAAAGATATTCTTAATTATAAATACAATGAATTTTGATTTAATATTAAAATTCATTTTAACTATAAAATCTTTTACTGTTACCTCAAAGTTTCTTAAAATAGTATACTAACTTCAAAGGAATATTAAAGACACTATAGTAGCAAAAATCCATATTACTAATAATAGCATTGTATGCTATAATTAAGAAGAAGTTATGCCTCTTGACTTTACTAAAAAAATAACTACTAAACCTCTTGAGAATGCTAATATGTTCTTGTATCTTAACAATTATAGCAAATAAACATATCTACCCAATTTCTAATTGAAGTTACAGACAATACATAAAATGATTAAGTTTTTTATTTGAGGAATTATATTCATAATGAAAAGCTTGATCCATTGACCCTTCTCCAATGTTATTATTTTATTAAAAGAGATTAGCCAAGAAATCTTAAGAATCTGATGCTAGAAAAAAGATGCATGTTATCTTTACTAAAAGTAGTTATCATTATATATAGAAGGTAGCTATCTGTAGCTATCAGTTGTTCTATATTAGATGTGTATATTATTTGTTAATCTTTAGTTATATTTCTGCCTGTACTTTAGCCAAGCTGTCAGATAAGAACTTTGAAGCTTTAGTAAAGAAAGCTCATATAATAAGAGAGCATGAAGTAGCAATATTGTTGAAAGGTCTAACACTTTTTACAGGAGCTCAGAAATAAAAGGATGAGTATATTACAGTAGTAACATGAAAAAGGTATAATAATAGGCAGTATGATGGGCTGTGTAAAACTTAGAATCAGTACAAGCTCTATAATTGTAAATAGAATTTTTTAAATTTGTAAATACTTACTCTTTTGTAATTAAAGATTATAACTGAATTAATATAATTATACTTAGACCCTGTAATAGTTCTTAGTATCAAAACTACAGATCACTGAAACTAAGTAGTAATAGTGTTAGTAAATAAAACTACTAGTTTTATAGATTAAAAGATTTGAGTATTGTATTTACTAATAAATTAAAAAGTATAAAAGCAAAGCTTTTAAGCCTTTAATAAAGTTAATTGTTTTGATGTTTTAAATTAGTTGAATAAAAGAATCGATTGTTCAAGTGTTTGAATAAATTTTGTTATTAGAATTTTATTTATTTAATAAAAACTGTTTAATAACCCTTATATTGAAAGTTCTGTTATATTTCTTTTAGTATTTTAAAATATCATTATAATTTGTTATTACTAGATTAATTTATTTATTTAATGCCTCTTAATTAATTATATCAGTAATGTTATTAAATTGATC